TACCCAAGTTTCTCCTGTTTTAAGCATTTTACACACCCATGGTACATTCAGCAAAACTAAGACATTACCACTGGTAGATTACCACTAACTAAATTGCAAACTTTTTTTGGATTTTACCAGTTTTTCCACCAATGTCCTTTTTCTGTTCCAGGATTCAATTCAGGATGACACATTGCATTTAGACGCATCATCTTTTAAATAAGCTTTCTATATTTGAGAAAATACCCACATCTGCTGGTATCAGCTTCTCCAGTTTGTAACTAAAAGTTCTGATGGATAAGGGAAGAGTAGACTCAGAATGTCTAGGAGAGGTTCCTTGGTCATCATCTAGACAAGAGATGAGGGAGCCCACTCAAAAGATGGGGTGGGAAGTCAATTTCAAACTCATTAGTTTCTTGATTATTTGGTTTTTGGATGTTGAGTTTGAGAAGTTCTTTATAGATCTTGGATACCAGCCCTTTATCTGTAGTGTCATTTGCAAATATCTTCTCCCATTCTGTGGGTTGTCTCTTTGTTTTGTTGACTGTTTCCTTTGCTGTGCAGAAGCTTTTTATCTTGATGAAGTCCCCAAAGTTCATTTTTGCTTTTGTTTCACTAGTCTTTGGAGATGTATCTTGAAAGAAGTTGCTGTGGCCGATGTCAAAAAGGTTACTGTCTATGTTCTCCTCTAGGATTTGGATGGATTCCTGTCTCACATTGAGGTCTTTCATCCACTTTGAGTTTATCTGTGTGAATGGTGTTAGAGAATGGTCGAGTTTCATTCTTCTGCATGTGGCTGTCCCATTTTCCCAGCACCATTTATTGAAGAGACTGTCTTTTTTCCATTGCATGTTTTTTCCTGCTTTGTCAAAGATTATTTGACCATAGAGTTGAGAGTCCATATCTGGGTTCTCTATTCTGTTCCATTGGTCTGTATGTCTGTTTTTGTGCCAGTACCATGCTGTCTTGGTGATCACAGCTTTGTAATATAGCTTGAAATCGGGCAACGTGATGCCCCCAGCTTTGTTTTTCTTTTTCAACATTTCCTTGGTGATTCAGGGTCTTTTCTGATTCCATACAAATTTTAGGATTGTTTGTTCCAGCACTTTGAAAAATGTCATTGGAGTTTTGATCGGGATGGCATTGAAGGTATAGATTGCTCTGGGTAGCATAGACATTTTAACAATGTTTATTCTTCCGGTCCATGAGCATGGAATATTTTTCCATCTTTTTGTGTCTTCTTCAATTTCTTTCATGAGTGGTCTGTAGTTCCTAGAGTATAGATCATTAGTTTCTCTTTTTTTCCCAAGTTTTTATTTGAGTTCCAGCTAGTTAACATACCGTGTAGTCGTGTTAGTTTCAGATGTCAAATTAGTGATTCATCACTTACATTCAAACTCATTAGTTTCTTTTTTCTTATGTTTCAAGTTTTAATTAATTAATTATTTTTTTAGTGTTCTGTGATTCATTGTTTGCATATAACACCCAGTGCTCCATGCAATACATGCCCTCCTTAATACCCATCACCAGGCTTATCCATCCCCCCCACCCCCCTACCCTCTGAAACCCTCAGTTTGTTTCCTGTAGTCCATAGTCTCTCATGGTTCATCTCCCGCTCTGATTTCCCCCCCTTCATTTTTCCCTTCCTTCTCCTAATGTCCTCCACGCTATTCCTTATGTTCCACATATAAGTGAAACCATATGATAATTGACTTTCTCTGCTTGACTTATTTCACTTAGCATAACCCCCTCCGGTTCCATCCATGTTGATGCAAATGGTGGGTATTCATCCTTACTGGTGGCTGAGTAATAGTCCATTGTATATATGGACCACATCTTCTTTATCCATTTGTCTGTTGAAGGGCATCTCGGCTCCTTCCACAGCTTGGATATTGTGGACATTGCTGCTATGAACACTGGGGTGCATGTGGCCCTTCTTTTCACTACATCTGTATCTTTGGGGTGAATACCCAGTGGCACAATTGCTGGGTCCTAGGGTAGCTCTATTTTTAACTTTCTGAGGAACCTCCACACTGTTTTCCAAAGTGGCTGTACCAACTTGCATTCCCACCAACAGTGTAAAAGGGTTCTCCTTTCTCCACAACCTCTCCAACATTTGTTGTTTCTTGCCCTGTCCATTTTTGCCATTCTAACTGGCGTAAGGTGATATCTCAGTGTGGTTTTGATTTCAATTTCCCTGATGGCTAATGATGATGAACATTTTTTCATGTGTCTGTTAGCCATTTGTATGTCTTCTTCAGAGAAGTGTCTGTTCATGCCTTCTGCCCATTTTTTGACTTGATTATTGTTTTTTGGGTGTTGAGTTTGAGAAGTTCTTTATAGATCTTGGATGCCAGCCCTTTATCTGTAGTGTCATTTGCAAATATCTTCTCCCATTCTGTGGGTTGCCTCTTTGTTTTGTTGACTGTTTCCTTTGCTGTGCAGAAGCTTTTTGTCTTGAGGAAGTCCCAAAAGTTCATTTTTGCTTTTGTTTCACTAGCCTTTGGAGATGTATCTTGAAAGAAGTTGCTCTGGCCGATGTCAAAGAGGTTACTGCCTATGTTCTCCTCTAGGATTTTGATAGATTCCTGTGTCACATTGAGGTCTTTCATCCATTTTGAGTTTATCTTTCTGTATGGTGTAAGAGAATGGTTGTTTTGCATGTGGCTGTCCAATTTTCTCAGCACCATTAATTGAAGAGACTGTCTTTTTTCCATTGCATATTTTTTCCTGCTTTGTTGAAGATTATTTGACTGTAGAGTTGAGGGTCCATACCTGGGTTCTCTATTCTGTTCCATTGGTCTATATGTCTGTTTTTGTGCCAGTACCATGCTGTCTTGGTGATCACTGCTTTGTAATGTAGCTTGAAATCGGGCAACGTGATGCCCCCAGCTTTGTTTTTCTTTTACAACATATCCTTGGCAATTCGGGGTCTTTTCTGATTCCATACAAATTTTAGGATTGTTTGTTCCAGCACTTTGAAAAATGTCAGTGGAATTTTGATCGGTATGGCATTGAAGGTGTAGATTGTTCTGGGTAGCATAGACATTTTAACAATGTTTTAAAAAAAATTATTGTTATGTTAATGACCATACATTACATCGTTAGTTTTTGATGTAGTGTTCCATGATTCATTGTTTGTGCATAACACCCAGTGCTCCATGCAGAACGTGCCCTCTTTAAACCCATCACCATGAGCGCTGTGAAGTGTGCAAGACTGTTGAATCACAGATCTGTACCTCTGAAGCAAATAATACATTATATGTAAAAAAAAAAAAAAAAGAAGAAGAAGATAGCAGGAGGGGAAAAATGAAGGGGGGGAATCGGAGGGGGAGACGAACCATGAAAGACTATGGACTCAGAAGCTTTGCTTTTATTCTTCACTTGGGAAGGTGGGATGTCCATGGATAGTCAGTGCTGAACCTGGAGTGGCATTTGTAGGAAAGCAATGATGCTTTCTGAGAGTATGCACTATAATTTGGTTAATTTACAAAGGAGGCCAGCATGAAGCATGCTCTCATTTATGATTGTGTACGGGGGCTAAGCAGCAACAACCACACAGTGTTGGTAAAAGGGGGTTGGTGAGTCTTGATTTCCTACAGGCCCTCCATCTTTAGAGCTTTACAGGAAAATGTAACATTTTATATCATGGGCAGAGAGTAATACACTTCCTCTTACTCAAGTGACAAGCAGTTTGGATACTTTGATTTCAAAAGATCTATAAAGATGGAAGGCAAATCTGTTTAAGATACATAAGATTTACCAAAATAAGGCTTTTAAGTATCTTTGACCCTTACCTTGCACATTTTTTTTCCAGCAAGCATATAGGCATTCAGCAAAAAGTCCCTGGGGTCTTGGAGATAGAACAATTACCACCATTAGTGTCATTCTGAGGGAAACAGGAAACAGTGGGAAGAACCTGTGCTCTGCATGGGACACCCAGAGACCACTGCTCCCTGGACAGGCACCCCTCTCCTGGGCCTTAATTCCCTTAAGTGTACAGCGGGGCCACTCGGCCTTTAGCTTCCCCCACTGCTTCATCCTCCTACCATCTGGCCTATGGTAATTTCTGTCTTTCTGGGCAGGTCATACAAGTCAAGAGATGTTACAGTGGGGTTTGTTTGTTTGTTTATTTATTTAAAATCAATTACCCAGGGTATAGTACGTCATTGGTTTTTGATGTGATGTTCAATGGTTCATTGTTTGCGTATAGCACCCAGTGCTCATTGTGTCTCATGCCCTCCTTAATGCCCATTACTGAGTTACCCCATTACAATGGGGTTTAAATACTGGTGACCTTTGCAGACCTTACCCTGACTATACACATTTTGTTTGATCCATATAGGATTTTAAAACTGGAAGGCTTACATAAAAATCCAATTAGGAGCTTTTTATTAAAAATTGGAGGATTTGTTGGGGCACCTGGGTGGCTCAGTCATTAAGCATCTGCCTTTGGCTCAGGTCATGATCCCAGGGTCCTGGGATCAAGCCCCTCATCGGGCTCCCTGCTCAGTGGAGAGCCTGTTTCTCCCTCTCCCTCTCCCACTGCTTGTGTTCCCTCTTTCACTGTCTCTCTCTCTCAAATAAGTAAATAAAATCTTAAAAAAAAATTGGAGGATTTGAAAAAAAACTGATACATAAGAGAATATAGTGAAATAATATAGCTAATTCTTTAGATTCTGGGGTGGGTTAAAGCTTGAGATTATGGGCCCCAGATATAATGGTTTCCAAAAATCACAAATAAGGGATAACCAAACTGTAGATCATTGTATTATTCATGACCCCAAGTTGCAGAAATAAGTAATAAAATTAACTTAGCATTTGCTGATCAAAAGGTATTTATAAAAGAGAGCATTGTTAATAAGGGAATGAAATTCTGGACAACAAATATTTACCAAGCACATCCAACATGTCACTATTTGTCTTAGGGTGGAAACATTAAAGTTTTAAAAAATATTCAAATGGAAAATCAAACACATGAGGTCAACCAAAATGAGGTTCTGATTTAAATAAATGTCATATCACTGTGAGAAAAATGTTGCCCTACTGAAGAGTTTCCCCAGGGCCTCTTTCATGTCCGTGTTCCTAAGGCTGTAGATAAAAGGGTTCAACATGGGTGTGACCACTGTGTACATAAGAGCCACAACGATGTCCTTGTTGATGAAATTGCTTAATTTGGGGAAAAGATACTGCCCAAATATTGACCCATAATACAGAGACACTACAGACAGGTGGGAGCCACATGTGGACAATGCTTTGCCGATCCCCTTGGTGGAAGGAACTTTCAAGATGGTGGCCCCAGTGTAGCCATAAGATACCAGAATACATATGAATGGCAGGGTAATGACCACCACCCCTACTGTGAACATGACCAATTCATTGAGAAAGATGTCTGAGCAGGACAGCTTGAGCAGAGCACTAAGGTCACAGAAAAAATGAGAGATGGTGTTAGCAGCACAGAAGGATAACTGGGTGAGGAGAAGGGTGTGGGAAAGGGAGCTGGCATAGGACAGGATCCAAGATATAGCCACTAGTAAGGCACATAACTCTTCCCTCATGATGGTGGTATAATGAAGAGGGTGACATATAGCCACATAGCGGTCATATGCCATTGATGTAATAAGGAAGCTGTCCAGGTCAGTAAAAAATATAAAAAGATACATTTGTGAAATGCACCCTGCATAGGGGATGGATTTGTACTTAGCATGCATGTCCATCAACATTTTTGGGACAGTGACAGATGAGAAAGAGACATCAGTGAAGGCCAAGTGACTGAGGAAGAAGTACATGGGGGTGTGGAGGCGAGAGTCCAGCCTGATGAGCAGGATGATGAGCAGGTTCCCCAGCACTGTGGTCAGGTACATGCCCAGAAACAGGGCGAAGAACATGCCCTGCTGCTCTGGCTGGATGGGGAGCCCCAAGAGGAGGAACTCGGACACGCTGCTCTGGTTCTCCCTCCTCATGATACTCGTTCCTCTGCTGGGAATGAAGAATGGTTGAAAATATTAAGGACTCTGAAATAATCATTTTTAGCAGTCATATGAAAAATACGTATATTTTATTTTGGAAAGTGGGAAACAACCTATTTCTCATATGTTTTTTTATGTTGGCACATAAAGGAATTAGGAAAATTGTTGATGAAGGACTGTTCATGAGAGCCAGCTTTTCTTGAATTAGTGACAAACCAGAATTCTTCCATCTGTGACACTGAGGACCAGACCATGGAATATGATGTCTCACCCATGTTATTGCCCCAAGAATGCTCTGTGATGAGTATTTCAAATCATCAACCACAGCACAGCAAACTTTAGAAGATTTGACTTCAACAGTTTGAATTCAATTGTTAAATTTCAGATGGGAGGTAGATTTTTCAAATAAAAGGATACAAATAGTATTGGCTAAAGAACACTCATCGATACACATACATTTTTATTTTAATTTAGTAGATGGTTCTTTCAGTTCAGTAGAGGGTTCTTACAAAACCCTGAATTATGTTATCCATTCTCCCTACTGCAGCTGAAGAGAGATTTTTTTTTCTTAAAAACCTATATTTCTTTTTAAAAATCTAAATAACTCTCCCTGTTTGAAAACCTTCAAAGGATTCCCATTGATCTTAAGATGAAGTGTTATAACCTTAGTATGTCTTAAAGACCCTGAAAAATCTGTGTCTCTCTTGCATTTCCAACCTCTTCTCCCTTATCTCCACGTCTCTCACTCTTGCTGACTTCTCTGTTCCAACTTCCTTAGAAAGACATATTTTCATTTGACGTCACTTAGACTCCTTCCCCTTGGTGGTTGTGGGTTTCCTGGGATCCCATATCATGTTGAGAAAGCAAAGATCAGGCTGACTCCCAGCATGTATTTCATGCAAATTATTTATAGTTTATTTTCTACTGACAACATATAGAAGGTTGTGATGATACAACATTTTAAATTACATACCAAGTATATCTTTTTGAATATGCTTCCTTTCCTCCCTGTGCAACATAATAACATCCCATAATGAAAAATTAGGACTATAATCAAAATATGCCAAAAGAAGTGAGTTTTTTTTTTATTTGAGAGAGAGAATGAGAGAGAGAGAGAGCATGAGAGGGGGGAGGGTCAGAGGGAGAAGCAGACTCCCTGCCGAGCAGGGAGCCCGATGCGGGACTCGATCCTGGGACTCCAGGATCATGACCTGAGCCGAAGGCAGTTGCTTAACCAACTGAGCCACCCAGGCGCCCCAAGAAGTGAGTTTTTAGCTTGTACCCCAAGTTTTCATCTCCCTTTTGGTTATTCCTGTCATCTTCCAACACCTGCTAGTCTGTTGTGGTAAGCAGAAATAATAACCCTCAAAGACGTCCCCATCCTAGTGCCCAGAACCTAGGGATAAAAAGGTACATGACAAGGGAGAGTTAAAGTGCACATAGAATTAAGGTTGTTAATCAGCTGACTTTAAAATGAGATTATCCTGGACTATCTGGGAGGGCCCAATATAATCACAGGTATCCTTAAATGTAGAAGAGGGAAGCAGAAGAATCAGTCAGGAAGAGATTTTAAAATGTTATGCCGCTGGTGTAGGAAATGGGGAAAGGGCCATGAGCCAAGGAATGCAGGTGGCCTCTAAAAACTGGACACAAACAATACGAACCATGAGAGACGATGGACTCTGAAAAACAAGCTGAGGGTTCTAGAGGGGAGGGGGGTGGGGGGATGGGTTAGCCTGGTGATGGGTATTAAAGAGGGCACGTATTGAATGGAGCACTGGGTGTTATGCACAAACAATGAATCATGGAACACTTCATCTAAAACCAATGATGTAATGTATGGGGATTAACATAAGAATAAAAATAAAAAGGAAAAAAAAAAAACTGGACACAAACAGACAAACAGGACATGGCAAGGAAACAAATTCTCCCTTGGAGCTCTCACCAAGGTGTGCCAACATTTCAGATTTCTGACCTCCAGAACTATAGGATAATAAATGCGTGGGTTTTTGAAGCCCCTACCTTTGTGGTAATTTGTTAGAGCAGTAATAGGAAACTAATACACCAATATTGGAAAGATCTCAGGAATGTCTAAATACTCTGGTTATCTGGGTACCAGTATGCAATAAAACACACGTGTCCTTCCCAACTTTCACGTGGTATTCAACAAAATGAAGCAATTGCTTCGCAAAGCTAATTCGTACCTAAATGTAGGGACAGGAGGTTACTGTCTCATTAGAGGCATTTGCCACTAGTCACAAAGGTGACTATAAAACACCCTCTCCCACTCTAGGAAACAAACCGAGGGTTGCTGGAGGGGAGGTGGGGGCGGGGATGGGGTAACTAAGAGATGGGCATTAAGGAAGGCACTTGATGTAGTGAGCACTGGGTGTTATATGCAACTAATGAATCACTAAATTCTACCCCTGAAACTAATAATACAGTATATGTTAACTACACTGGATTTAAATAAAGCATTTTTTTTTAATTAAAAAAATAAAACACCCTTTCTCACATTCAGCAACTGGACTATGTCAGATCTAAAGCAAGTGGAAATTCCTCTGAAGACCTCTTCCCTGTATCTCTTTATCTCTTGGTTCACTTTTGTCTTTTTTATTTTCTTTTTCTTCCTGTCTGTCCCTTCACTTTATCTGTCATTTTCTCCCTCCTTCTCTCCCACTTCTCATTCTCTCTGCCTCTCTCTCTCTGTTCTTCTGTCACTCTGTGTCTCTACTCCTTCTCCGTGCCTCCCTGCCCTCTCTCATTTTAATTCTCTCTTCTCCTCCATGTCAGAATCAGCTTTCTCATTCTTCCTCTTCCATCCCCATATATAAGCCCATATGTGCTGAGAAAAATACCCATTCCATCTCAATACTGACCTTGCCTGCATTTATGATGCAATGTTTGGTAAGTAAATGTGTCCTGAGATTCTCTTTAGGGGATCTAAATATCAGCTTCCAAGGTCCTAGATATTTCTTGGGCACCAACAAGAAAAGGTCCACATTCAGACTCTCACTCCTATCTACCAGCCCCAAATCTATGAATTGAGGAGTATAACTAGCCAAGGAGAGAACCCTAGGGGGTAGGAAGCAGATGTTATAATTTCTAGTTCCAAACACCCAGCAGACTTAGATTACTGGCCCGATTTTCCCCTTGATTCCCCTAGGAAAGATATGCTGTGGCAGGTATGTTAGTGCTGGGAAACTTGGAGAATGAGCCCACAGGGAAAGGCTCTCAAGGCATCTTCAGTCTCCCTTCTGTTCTAGGCTCTGCTTTAATCACATTTCGACATAAAGTAAACTCCAGAGAGGTTAAAAAAAGAGAGAAATTACTGGATCCAACCAGATCCAAACAGAAAGCCAAATGACTGGATGGCCTCTGAGAATTTGGGTAGAACTATCTCCTACACAAAAGGTTCCTGTTGGGAGTCTACCCACCAGGTAACCCAAAGAAAATGGCTTTCTTCTCTTTGGTGATTATTATGAAATGCAAAGTGGGAAGAGACAGGACCTTTTTGGGACAAGGTTTTAGTACTTTCTTGACAAACTTAGGTTTGGTTACATCAAATAAAAATAGTTTTCAAGGAAGAAAGAAAAGAAGGGGGGAAGGGAGAGAGGGAGGAAAAAATAACCCACAAAGAAAACAAACTTGTAAATTGGAAAAAATGTTGATACACACACAATCCAGAAAAATGGACTCAAAGTTTAAAAGCTTCTGAATTGTTGAACACTACATCAAAAACTAATGACGTTCTCTATGTTGGCTAACTGAACATAATTTAAAAATTAAAAAAAAAATAAAGCTTCAGGTTCTTTGAAACTGCCCTTTGAAGAAAATGATCATTTACTGTGGCATTAGTCATTCTTTGGAATGAGATATATATGACAAAAAGAGGAGTATTTATACCTTGAGTTAATAATCTTTGAGGGTTTATTTTGGCCTTTTTAAAATTAACATATAATGTATTATTTGTTTCAGGGGTACAGGTTTGTGACTCATCAGTCTCACACAACACACAGCACTCACTACAACACATACCCTCCCCAATGTCCATCACCTAGCCACCCCACCCCTCCACCCCTCTCCCCTCCAGTATTTTGGCCTTCTTGATATCTGGGTTTAGGGGGTGGTAGATAAAAGCAAAGCTTATAGCTGGGCAAGCTTTTTTTCTGGCTCTGATGACCTTGTATTACTGCCACAACTTCATGTACCCCAGAACAAAGGGACTCAGGAGACTGTTAACTCAGAATTGTTGATGACCAACAGCATTCTAGGTAAAAGCCAGAGAAAAAGTGACCAGAATATTGTTGAGTAGCAGCTTAGCAAACTCAAAATATGCCATAAGCTAGCTTGGCTAGGCACTGGACTCACCGGGAGGGACGCAGCAGACACTTGGTGCACTGGGGAGGGAGAATCTATGGAGAGGCAAGTCAGTAGATTGAACAGACAGCAATACTTGAATACAGGATGTAGGGAGCTCAGATACTGGTATAGGAAGCTATACAGGTATTGGTACCAACAGGAGTAGACTGCAAGGCACAGACAAAGCTATGTGAGGTGGGTTTGGACAGATTGAAATACAAGGAGTCAAAATGGAGACCCCTTATATGGAAGTCTGATATGCTACAGACAGAAGAGAGACCTGTGGCAGGTAGCATGGCATAGAAGGCAACAGAGGAGCTTACACTTGGGTGGATGAAAGACAAAATTCTAGCTGGAAAGCAAGGGACAAGTTATTGCACATTTCACAGCACCTTGTAGGACTCTTCAGGTTTTGGAGACAGCACATACCACACCTGGAATACTGCTTTAATTGATTTTTCAAATGACTTGATAGACTGCCAATTTCAAATGGGATCTAAAGCAATAGAGGGTTTGCAGCTGATTCAGGCTATGGTGCAAGGGAGCCTACTAATTGGATCATCGATGTTGGCAGAACCCATGGTGTTTGCTGGAGGTATCCATGGTAGTTAATGGCACCACATGGAGCCCCT